CAAGTTTAATCATTGGATGGATTATATTACATTAATTTCAGATCATCGCTATAGATTAACAATATCGTAATAATAGGAATCGCAGATGTTACATAGTGAGGATTAACAGAATCGATTCCGGATCCTCACGTATCCAGTTAGTACAATAATTCGCAAAATACGATTACCTTAATGTTAGTCGACTCTCTTGATACTAATAACAAAAGTAATACCAAATGCTTATAAGTTGTTCCTGAAAAAATAATAATAATAAAGATAAAACTTCAGATTTCTGTATAATATAGAAATAAATTTTTTGATACCTGTTCTCCACATTTCATATAAATAAATTAATTTAAAAATAGTTAACAAATAAGAAATATAATCTTTTTACAATATGATTGTTATGCTTTATTATACAGTCTATTACAATCACGGGCATGCTAAAGATATATACTTATTTGAAATATAACACGCGGCCTTAAAGGGTCTTCTAAAATAGAATATGGTCTTCAGATTAAAACAGAACTGGGAATGTTTTTAAACAGAAAATAACTATCCAATCACAATAATTTTTGTAAAATTCTACATACAATTTCGAAAATATCAATTTGAAATATAAGTTAGAATACGTCAATTGCCATAATCGATCTCAATTTTCTAATACGAATGTCATAATTAAAGTCTTTATTTCTAAGTAATTTGTTCAGCTAATAGACAAATTGATTGCAGAATAATTATTCCCACTATTTAACTTTTAGTTTATATTATAAATTAATCTCATATTAAACAGTTAAAAACTATAAATTATAAGAATGAACACGACTGAAAATTTTATTATATAATTAGCAAAAACATAGCTCTGAATTCACGTATCTTATCCATAAAAATTAATATTATTATCTCTACTGTTTTTGTTAAATTAACATTTAGTTTTTTCGATTATAATAAACATTTAATTAGATTGAGCATACTACAAATTAGAATTTATTAATAATTCTCATTATTTTTAAAAAAAATACTACTGTAACCTATCAACTAACAAGAGTACAAGAATAAATATTTTAACAAATAAAGTAAAGCTTAATTCTAATCATTCTTCAAAATTTTTCAAAATACAGATTATATCTATGATTTTTTAAAAAAAGTATCATTAAAATTCATTTAACTAAAACAAAGAACAGGAAAAAATGCGTACAAAAATAAAAGATAATGATGTAAGCAATATAATTGAGAGAATTGTAATTAATCTGCAAAGATGTATTTTTAATGAGGAAAACAGATCTTAATTACAAAAAATTTCTAATTAAAAACGTCTATTGTTTATATTTATTCGCTATACGAATTCTGACCACACAAACATTTTTCCACTCCATATACTACTGTAATAACAATAGATCAAGAAAGATAATAGGCCGGATGGCCGAGGGGTTAAGCCGTCAGCCTAATGCTTTGAGGAATCCAGGATCGGTTCCGAGTGGATCGAAAAAAATCTTAAAAATTTTTGGAAGTATAGTCTATTCTGTATAAATCGTGCCTGTCTCTCGTCATTTTGAACCTAGGTGAACCAACGATAGGCCTGAAAAAGGCCCTCTTATTAATTACAGGGAAGAGAGTAAAAACTAATAAAGGCATTTATTTAGATTCAAGATATAGAAGATCAATAACTCTTGGTGATATTCGAAGATCCTTAATACAATTAAAGAATTTTTACAAAATACCTTACTTATAAAAGTCGTTTAAATTAAATAAATATATTTTAATGTAAATATTAATTTAAATGCTGATTTTTATGCTTTATTATACAGTCTATTACAATCACGGGCATGCTAAAGATATATACTTATTTGAAATATAACACGCGGCCTTAAAGGGTCTTCTAAAATAGAATATGGTCTTCAGATTAAAACAGAACTGGGAATGTTTTTAAACAGAAAATAACTATCCAATCACAATAATTTTTGTAAAATTCTACATACAATTTCGAAAATATCAATTTGAAATATAAGTTAGAATACGTCAATTGCCATAATCGATCTCAATTTTCTAATACGAATGTCATAATTAAAGTCTTTATTTCTAAGTAATTTGTTCAGCTAATAGACAAATTGATTGCAGAATAATTATTCCCACTATTTAACTTTTAGTTTATATTATAAATTAATCTCATATTAAACAGTTAAAAACTATAAATTATAAGAATGAACACGACTGAAAATTTTATTATATAATTAGCAAAAACATAGCTCTGAATTCACGTATCTTATCCATAAAAATTAATATTATTATCTCTACTGTTTTTGTTAAATTAACATTTAGTTTTTTCGATTATAATAAACATTTAATTAGATTGAGCATACTACAAATTAGAATTTATTAATAATTCTCATTATTTTTAAAAAAAATACTACTGTAACCTATCAACTAACAAGAGTACAAGAATAAATATTTTAACAAATAAAGTAAAGCTTAATTCTAATCATTCTTCAAAATTTTTCAAAATACAGATTATATCTATGATTTTTTAAAAAAAGTATCATTAAAATTCATTTAACTAAAACAAAGAACAGGAAAAAATGCGTACAAAAATAAAAGATAATGATGTAAGCAATATAATTGAGAGAATTGTAATTAATCTGCAAAGATGTATTTTTAATGAGGAAAACAGATCTTAATTACAAAAAAATTTCTATTTAAAAAAATTCTATTGTTTATATTTATTCGCTATACGAATTCTGACCACACAAACATTTTTCCACTCCATATACTACTGTAATAACAATAGATCAAGAAAGATAATAGGCCGGATGGCCGAGGGGTTAAGCCGTCAGCCTAATGCTTTGAGGAATCCAGGATCGGTTCCGAGTGGATCGAAAAAAATCTTAGAAATTTTTGGAAGTATAGTCTATTCTGTATAAATCGTGCCTGTCTCTCGTCATTTTGAACCTAGGTGAACCAACGATAGGCCTGAAAAAGGCCCTCTTATTAATTACAGGGAAGAGAGTAAAAACTAATAAAGGCATTTATTTAGATTCAAGATATAGAAGATCAATAACTCTTTGTGATATTCGAAGATCCTTAATACAATTAAAGAATTTTTACAAAATACCTTACTTATAAAAGTCGTTTAAATTAAATAAATATATTTTAATGTAAATATTAATTTAAATGCTATTTTCTGATATTACTTGTACAGTTTGCAAAAATTTTCAAAACAGTGTTGTTTTTCCGTAAAATATCCTAATTTTAATAATGAATATTAAATAATTTATAGAACTTTTGTTTACACTCAAAAATAAAATTTTTTTTTTATAAATTTCTATACTTACATGCATTACATTTAAATATCTAAATACATGTAAGCTGATTTTTAAAACTGTATTTTATAATTTCTATACAGAACGAAAAATCAATATGTTGTATAACAGTATCAATAAGTTACGTGATTAATAATGAAAAGAAAAAAAATATATATTTTCTAGCCTTTCCTCAAATAAAAATACCATTTTAATAACACTTCTTTAAAAGCACTCGAAAACTCGAATCACCTTTTTCAGCAAAGCAAATAAAATTCAATTTTGAAATAAGAGATTAATATTAGAGGAATTATGTTTTCTGCTGAATTTTATTTCAATAACATCTTTAATATCGAAAAAGGTTTATTAAATACGAAAGAAAATTCTCCCAGTAATTCTAGTAATGTTTTCTCCTTCAGAATCTCGTGGTATCCAGGAATTTTTTGATGATTCGGCAGTTTTAGATGATAATCAGACATAATTTGTTTTAAAATATTTTTATTACTCTTTAATAAATACAATAAAAATGAAAGAAATGAAAAAATAAGAAATTGTCCTAGTTTCAATTATTTTTATATTCTTCGTTATGCTCTGTTATGTTTACTCGAACGAATTTTCCTAAACAAAATTATTTTTAATAACTTCCAATTTATTTTTGTCTAATTTTAAATTTAAATTCATTATAAATGGAACGTAACTTATAAGTAAACTATTTTTTTTTTTTTTCATTTTAGAATAGAGAAAATTCTTGAGAAAATAAAAATTTATTCTATTTTATGAATAGCTTAGAAAATTATAATTTCTGTTGAGTGTTTTCGGCATCATCGAATAACTTTGAAGAAAACGTCTGTGATTAAAGAAGAAAAGGAATTTTACCAAAGAAATCATGTAAATTGCTTACAAAATTTAAAATTCTTCATTTCCGCTTTGGAATAATTGATTTTGAAAAATGGAGATTTTTTTTCTTTCCTTTAAACAAGATGTCTTCTATTCAAATAATAATTTACATTATAAATCGTGGTATAGAATAGACTTAATCAAATGATTAAATCGTTCCTACACCAAACAGAAAAAGGATTCAAAAAATAAGTTC